TGGCACAACCGTACCCAGTCTCGCCTTAAAAAAAATTATTTTCTATCCTACTTTTTCTGTTTGGGCATTATTCGCCACATTTGCAATATAAATTATTTTCAACGTCCAAAAATTATTTCAAAATTTTTGTCAGGAAGTATATTGTCGAAATATTTCTCGATTTAAGTGGACGTGATAATAGTAAATATCAAAATCAAATATCTGACAATATGATATCAGATCAGAGACAAATGATATCCGATATCACTGGTTGTCACAAGTCCTCACGTACTAAAATCATGCACGCTGACACCAGTACCAAACACACAGAGCAATCGGCGGAATCAGGCCGTGACCAGGCATGCATATGCAGGAGATGCTATATCGTAGCCGCGTTGTTCTCTATCTACACGGACGCTATTATAGTCTAATAGCTGGCGAATATATTGTACATAGACAAACCAGGAAACGGATTAAATAGATAAAGTTATAGGAAGATACATAAAGTTGCTTGAGTAATTTGGAAATAGATCTATAATCGATTTATTGATGTTAACTTAACTTATATTTATATATTTATATTTATATTTATACAACATAATTATACAATTATGATACACAAAATATTGGTCTATTATTGTTAAAATGCTTGTAAAGTTATTAATTTAATAGTAACTTTTTATATTCATTAAATATGTTACAATATATTGAATTCTAACCTTCTTGGCACTGTGGAAATAAGATACGTACTTCAGTTAAAAAAGTTTTGAGTATATGTAAAGTTTATGTGATCAGTAAATTGATAAAATTAGTATACTTGAATATGAAAATAATATCTAAAAATACATAAAATCAAATATCGTATAAAAATTGGTATAGGATATAAAGTAAGCGAGCAAAAATGAAACTAGCTGTAAGTGGAATTCTGTCTTAAGGCAATTAAGGCATCGTGCCTTAAGGCAAATTGCTGGAACTTCCCGTACCAAAAATTATTATTTTTTTAAAAACGTTTAACATTTTTGAAAAAAATTTACTTTGAAAAAATAAGATTTTTGAGAAACTATAGATTAGACAAAAAATTACTTTTTTTTGAAAATTTAAAAAAAAAAAAAAAAATTTTTTTTTTTTGAAAAAAATATTTTTTTTCCTTTATTTTGACATATTGTGAAAGATCTGAACTTTTTTTCAAAGCAATCGTACTGCTTTAACTGCATACGGTCAAAATATAAAGCGCGTAAGCGCCGCGTCGCTGTCTAACGCATAAGCATTGGTACGGAACCCATAGGAATGTTAACAAAATGTATACTTATTGTTAAAATCTCTGTAAAATATCTGATAATTTGATGTGCATATGTCTAATGATCATTTTTGACCGCCAAATGGCTCAATTTTTTTACTTTTTCCTCCATATCTCCGAAACCGCTAGACCTACCTTCATGAAAATTTTATCGATTCTTCATCTTGTCAATACAAGTGAAATGTTTTTTGAATTATTCAAATCGGATGCTCCGTTCTCTTAAAAACTGAGTTACCGTTTTCAGCACTTTTTGCCCCGTATCTTCGGAACGGCTAGACCTGCCTTTGCCAAAAACTAATCAGCACGTCTTCTTATCAATACAAATCGAATGTTTTTTGAATTATTCAAATCGGTTGATCCGTGTTCCCGAAATCGTCGACGAAAATTTGTATCCGCACATACATACACACACGCACATACATACATACATACATACATACATACATACATACATACATACATACACACACACACACACACACACACACACACATACATCCATTTTTTCTAAGGTATGCCAAAATGTTCAGAAACCTTTGAAACGTAAAGATATATAAAAATTTTCATTTTCGATTTTTTTGCGATTACTATAACTTGCCCTACGGGAAGTTAAAAATAACAAATGAAAACTACCCTGAAAAAAATCTGAAAAAAATCTCACATTTTTTCAAGTGAAACCGCAGGCTTTAGTGAAAATGTAACCATTTTTCGGGTATTATTATTATGGTTATGTTTAAACTTTAGAAACGTAACCGAGAATAAAATTTCTAGAACTACAGTAACAAATAATAACTCAAATGCCCTTATTATTCTTAGCTAATGCTTTCTTATTCTTAGCTATTAGCTTCTTAGCTAATGTAGGAATACCTTTCGCCCTAAGTATTATATCTTCCTGTTACTAAAATTTAAAAGAATATCTAATATAACTTATTTATATTGTAGCAATTATTCTACAAATTTTTTAAATACTTTTTAATCTGTATGTTAAATATTTATGTATGAATAATCATCACCTTTATAAAATATATTAAAAATGTTATTATGAGAGTTTATATTAGCCTATTGCGCCATTCTAATTTTTTTGTTTTGTGGTCTTGATAAAATAACTCTTTTGTTTCTAATTAAAAAATAATTTTCTGACAATATGATTCTGACTAAAATAATTTACACAATTCTATTGCAGCGCTATTTTGATTAGACAGTTATTTTCTATTATATATTATTTAGTATAGATATTGCCTCTCAATGTAGTTTTATTCCGATAATACTACTCTAACCTACCCTCGCCTCTTCATTTTAATAAATGCATTGTCTTTTGATTGGCTTCAAACTATTATTTTTCATGTTATTTTATAATTAATAAAGAATTTTATAAAAATAATTTGTAACTGGGCTCTATTTTTATTATTTGACTATATAATTTCTGATTTCTACCATTAATTTTCGAATCTTAAATTGAAAAAGAAAAAGAATCAATTATTATATATGCAAAATATATTAATGGTCTCGTAGCCAAAAAATGTGATGATACTTTTAATTATTTTACTATTGTAGTAAAATAGTAATTTCACATTTTATTTCTTTGTCGAAAGTTAAAATGAAAATGACTTGCTCTTATTAAAAGAATTGTCTTCTGTTTGGCTTTAAACTATTAGTTTCTATTTTATTTATAATTAAACAATTTCCTTAAAGATAATTTTTATTTGCGTTAAAATAATTTCTGATTTCTATCATTAATTGTCCAATCTTATATTGAAAAAGAAAAAAAAATCAAAAATTATATATGCAGCATATATTGAGAGTCTTATGACCAAGGAATATGGTAATACTTTTCATAGTTTCAATATTCTGGTAAATTATTAATTTTATAAGTTATTTTTTGTGGAATATTAAAATGAAAAAGACAAAAAAATGGTTTGTAAAAATACTGTTACAGCAGAATAGTGAAAAAAATTAAAAGTATTACTAGAAATATAGAAAAAAAATTGTGAAAGAATAAAATGAAAATAACTTGTTTTTGTTGTATTACAAAGCTAGGAATGCGAAATATAGTAAATTCTTATGACGTTACATTAATTATTGTTACATTTATTATTATTTATATTACATCTCAGTAATATAAATGTAATTCGCATTTTATTTTCCAGTTGCAACCGAAGTAAAACTGTATCAAGTGAAATAATAATATTTAAAATGGTGTCTAAGACATCAAATTGTCTACGCCGTAGAATTAAGAATCTATATAATCAATTTAAAAAATTAAGGTGCTGTTCCAAAATATCGTTGGCTTCAGTTTACTATTTAATTGCATGAAGCTAGTGGAAATGTATAGAATAATCAAAATAATCAAAACACTAACCAACTCTCTATTTATCAGTAGATGTGTTTCGGTATTGCATATGAGGAATTTGTTATTCAAATATTTCGGTGCATAATTACTCATCCGTTGCGTTAGAAACGCAGCAGTTGATTTCACACAACGGCCGGGTCGCTCAACGAAGTTTCCGATTTACAAGAGCAGATGAACTTAAAATACGATATATTGCTATTGGATAATGATATTTATTTAATGCATATGGAATCATTCGATATCTTGTTTTGATTTATATTCAAATTGTATGCGCGGTGCAATAACATAGCACTCTACCAAATTTGGCATACACCACTTTGCCAAATTTGGTTACAGAAGTAAAATGAGTTGTACGAAAGCGCTTAATTTTAAATAGCAAAAAATAGTTTTTAAAGTTGATAGTGTTAAATGTAAGAATTAAAATTGATTCTAATAATGTATGCATTTATTGTAATTCCAAAACTGATGCATTGAACAGGGTGTCCCAAAACTTGAACGACAAGCCAAAAGGGAGTGACATGGGGGTAACTGTATTAAAGTGTCCTGAAAAAAATTAGAAAAAAAATACTTTTGTTTTAAATTACGAGTTTCTAAGTGCAATCGAGGGCTTTAATGAATTTGTGACGATTTTTCGGTTCTTGTGGTTATTTTTATTAATTTTGTTAATTTAAACTTTGGAACCGTATTCGTGAATAAAATTTTTAGGACTATAGTAAAAAAAATAATACAATTGCCAAGAGTTTTCAAGAACTATTTTTTTTATTGAACTATGAAATTAAATTTTTTAAAATGGGTGGACTTTGAGAGACCCTTAATACAAAAATACTAAAGTGTCTTTGAAAAATTCATCAAAAGTTGGCGCAATAACCAAAAAATAGTCACCATATCACCAAGGCTTTAGGTTGCAGTTAAAAGCTCATAATTTCCAAACAATGTCCTATTTTTTTTTTTTCAGGACAGTTAAGGTCAATACTATCATCCTTTTAGGCTTTACGTTAAGTTCCGCACACCCTGTTTATTTAATACTTCATAGAAAAAAGCATAAACCTAAAATGTTTGATTGGCAACTTATTTTCCCGGAATATTGTTTAAACCCGTCAACGTTATTGTTTCAAAACAAAATCCAAAAACTGATTTCATAGCATATGCTGTCCACAATATGAACGAAATAGATTATTAATGTAATTCATTCAATATAATCCCCATTCGCCATAAATGCTGTCATAAATTTTTACGATGAATTAGTAAAATAATCGAATTCGATATACGGCTTTTGGTTATTAAATACTTCACAACCACTATATGAAAATTCGATGTTATTTATTGGAAGTTTCAATAAAATGAAATTGTAATGTTAATAAAACTATCACTTACGTTTTGCAGGTATTTGAGCAGGTTTCACGATGAACATCTCAATGTGTCCACCTGTAAAGGAAAAAAAACGTATTAGGATATTTAATTTATATAATTTCCATAAGCGTAGTTGTAATAGATAAAACAAAGCATTGAGGTAAAATCTATATAAAATTTAGGATTTTCTAAATATATAAATTTTAAATGCATGCAAATCTTAATTATGTAAATGAATGTTTCATCTATATCATTTTTTTCTGAATTTACTATCCAATCTAGGAATAGAGTGTTTGTACTACCATGTTACTTGAAACCCGTATCCTTAATAATAACAGTAACATTGTTTCTGTTTGATCATATTGTTCTACCAAGTATATCACTATAATCGTTATCGTACAAAAACTGAATCATTAGAAAAACCATGTAATTTATCTTCTATTCTCTTTCCCCAAAATGTCTGTTTGCAATCAGAACCCAACCCGGTCAGATCATTCTAATCTGCCCACTTAGAAAATTAATCATCCATCCGTCTACATGAAATGTGTGCGTTGTGCGCGAACATTTATATATCCAATGCAGACGGAGGACACATTGTATATTTTGCACCAGGGTTGACAAAATCCATAAGATTCATATATATACTTTTCTTTACAACCAATCTTATGTTCATAGTTCAAATATCTATGCAAAAATGATCGATAAAATTGATTCAGCTAAAATATAGATTTGCAACAAAATATTAGTCTATGAAAAACTAGATTTTATGCTAATAAATACTCAACAAGTACCGAGCATTAAAAATTGATATTGTTGTTTGCTCTATGTTTTAAAGTAATATTTCTAAAACTCCAATTTTTTTAAACGCAAGAAGCTTTATTTATGGGTAACCTAGTGGAGCTTATTTATATTTTACCCTCAAGATTACTTTTCTTATATATTATGTCAGATTGTGATTAAACAAAATTCAATAAAAATAAAAATGTGTAAATCTGGCCCATAACAATATATATGTAAAAATTCTCGGAATTTTAGGAAAAGATACCACAGGCCTACAAACAATTTTTTTTGTTCGGTGCATCATATGTTAGAGCTGATTCTTATAGTATTTTTTGCGCTGATTTTAAATCTACAAACCATATTTTTGTATCAGCTCTAGTTTGGAACTTGGAAAGAAGTTGCCGAAACCAGGTTCATTCTAGGTCGTCACGGAAGAGAATTTTTCACGGTGTCAACTAATGTCCCAACTAAGGCCGAATGGGTCTTGTAAGTTTGTATGTGCGAGTAGGCAAATCTCATTCAAATAACATTCTGAATTGTATTTTGTACTTTCATTCCTTATATATCATATCCTGAAAACTAAGGCTCATAGAAAAAAAACAATGTCATTTTTGAAATCAGCGCCCCAAATATACTTAAAACAGCATCAAAATCGTTCGCACCATTTTTTTTGTTGGTCTTTGTAATAAAAGCATTACAGATATATGTGAATGGACTTAAATAATACGAGATACTTCATAAAAAAGTATCTAATTAAACCTTCTTTAGAATTTTTACTTAAATCATCATTTCATGAAGTGCATTTTTTTAAAAGTACATTACTAGAAATTTAAATGTTATAAGATAATACAAAATATATAAGAATTTTTATATAATTATATAAATATAGTTTGTTTCCGATCGACAATACTAAATCATTTTTGAATTGTCAAAATAGCTAGAATATAGATACAATTTTTTCGAAATGTTTCTGTACCATAGATGTATATACATTTGTGTACTGAGAATCAACCGCCCATCATCATTATACCGTAAGAGAACTGCTTTCAAATACAAATATTGGGAGTTAAATTTAATCTATGCCGTTGATTAAAAATGATCACCAAGTATGTATTTTTTTTTAAATTCTGTAACTGGGTCTACTTTGGCAGCCCTACTATGCACTAACTCTTGACTGTGTGATCTGTTCCAGTAATTATTGTCGGCGAGCCCAATTACCCAGTTTTGCGATGTCATTAATTCTACGTGCCGCGTACTGACCAATGGTCGAGCGGAGATCGCGGCTGGGATTTCGGTCGAGGGACGAGACTGCTTTCCGAGGTATAAATCGACACGATACAAATGTTTAACAAGAGACTGATGTCTTTGAAATAAAGGTTACATATGTGAAAGGTATTGTCATTTGTTTTGCTATGTAACAATAAGAATCAGCAATTATCCAATGTATCAATAATGCCCAACAAAACTCATGAGGTAAACGAATTTAACTGACCCGTAAACTGTACAACACAACAACCTAGACTTTACACCATTGAACAAATTTAGAATTTTTTAAACGACACAATTGGATCAACTAACAATCAATGCTGATATTTATATTAAGATAAAAATATATTATAGAAAAGCTCATTGATAATTTATGTAAAACAACTCGAGTTTGATGAATGCTGGAAGTTTCAAAGAAAGAAAAATTATGTTTGAAAATTTTACATTGAATTTGTTATACAAAAACTAGTTAAAGAGTAAAAATATTAACTTGTAGGCTTTACTTGTAAGATATTTTCTTCTGCAATAAAATGATAGTCAATAGTAATTTATAACTTATTTGCACTATTTGTAAAAAAGATTAATACTGAAAAATAGACAGAACGACGTCTTAAATAATGTAATTCGTCTTTCTAATGAAAAACAATTTATTTAGTACTTCCGGGAAAAATAATTATTTTATTTCCCCTGTAAATTTTAGTGAATTGCTCATATTTCCATATAAAAACATGATTTTACTATCTTTTGTATTGGAATATTTTTATAACAAAAAAGATTTACTGTACTGGGGAGACATTTTTACAAGCATTGAAATCGCGAACTGTTCTCGTGGTCGTTGTCAAATATATAGTTTGTATTTTCTAGTTAGATTGAATAGCAATAGTTCTGCGTTAGATGATATTGTATATGTTGTGGACAACGCGGCTAGATGATTTACTAGCAGTACGCGTGCTCTGGACAGCTACAATTGGTCTGGGAGGTGGATTCTGAAAAAGGTCCTCATACCTTAGAACTCTGAATTTATAGTGAAAGAGCTAACTATAAATTAAATAAAAAATATAAAATATTGTGTCGCTTTTCGTATTTTATTTAGTTGTAAATTTGGCCTTTATGGTACAACTAATCGAAAACCTTCAAATACCATTGCAAGAATAATTATCTTATGTCAGATTAACTTTGACGTTGTATCAAGACACTTATAATAAATAAACACAGCTAAAAATTTAATGAACATTTTAGATAATAGTTAATGTTTCTGTTCTAAAATATATAGATTTCGTCGGATGTCCACTGATTATGATAAAAGTATTTGAATTCTGGTACATTATATAATATGCAAAATAAAAGATTTTTTCTGTTTAACAGTAATTAGTACAAGGTGTTCTATAAGCTGTTTTGGACGATGCCTATTTTCAGATTTATTTTTATGTACGTTATTATAGGACAATCGAGTGACTGTTTATTACGAATGATTTTTCTGGTCAGCTCTGAGCCTACATCACGTATATGCTGGTAATATGGCATCGGTTTTGTAGTATCGAAATGAACGTCTGTTACATTGCAGCACATGACCAATATATCGGTTGTTAGATCAACCAATGCGCTGTCTGACGTTCGTGTCCGGGTGCCTTCAAATATGAAACGACGTGAAATGATCATTTATCAAATTTGTACTCACATCGTGATCAAATATATTGATTCAAGGGCAGAGATGACATAAGAATAAAAGTTAAAGAAACAATGGATAATAGTAATATACAAAAATAATTTAGTAATAGAATATTTTCAATTCTTTATGGATATCCGTATAATGAATTTTATGATGCAACTTTTCTCGTCTTATATTTCTGAAGTAATATAACATACTATAAAAATAGTAAAAAATAATATGCCCAGTATCATTTCTGAAATGTCGGCATTGTGAATGATACTAGCTTTTCTAATTTGATATCTATTGACTCCATAATGTAACTAAATATTATGTGGATAACCAATGTCTTATATAATCATGCATATTGAAGCATCAGCAAATATTAGTATACGACGGTGGAGACGCCTTGTACCTTTATTATGTATATAAAAACATAGTATTTTTATCAAGAGCTTTTGAACTATTTGAATAAATAGGAAATTTGGTATAGTTTAAAAGTCGCTTAATCTAAATCCGTATTAATTATTCACGATTATTCACATATATCGGGGAGGTTCCACAACTTACCTTAAGGCAACTAACCAATTACATAGTATATTATTTGTTTTAATAAAAATGTCATTCAATTATTTAATAAATAAATTCTAATAAATAAATAAATAGATATAATTGTTACACCAATTAATGACCACAATCAAATATCTAGCAGACTATATTTCATGTTTCACATGGAAGCCATATCGTTCCAGGCATCGATGCAGTAAAATTGTCATGACGCGTTGTCATGCGCTTGTTCCCATGTGACATTCCACAATTGCTGTTCATGTGCAAATCAGCAATAATGAAAGATGATATCTCGTGCGTGCCGTTAGGATAATACATTGCAATCATTCACATGTACGAATTTAATTGGATTGGTATTAAGGGATATAACAGTTTGTTGTTTGATTTAGTAAAGATGTATTTTTAAAGTCGCAGAAATAAATAAGCTGCTGTCTTACACTAAATTTTTACCTATGACCAATCCTCTTTAATTATTTTAAACATTATTTAACATATTGCAGCGTTTATACTCACAATTAGTGAAAGATTTCATGCTATTTAATATTGTGCCTAGCGAAACAAATTAAAAACTATCACAAATGTTCATTACTAGCAACAATTTTATTTTAATTAAAGGGTCAACGAACTGTGATATTATTTCAAGTGGAAGCAAATATGAATTGCCGGAGCAATGTTTATCCTAGACTTTTAATTAATTATATTTCTACCTATGCTAAATCCTCTTTGATAATTACTAAATACCCATACAACTTTTAAATCGAGTTAAAGCTCTTTAACCATTAACAATGTGTCTTTTTAACACAAATCATTGAAT